CTCCGCCCGTCCCCCCCCCCCCCCGCCTCTGCCCTCTAATCCCATAGTCATTTTGTCCACTGGACAGTGTATCTTGTCCCCAGGAGAGTCGTCACCTTCTGGTTGTTGGCTCCTTCACGGTGTCTGGGATTTCTAGCTGCCTCAGGGTTCCTGTTTTTCCTGCCAAAGCTCTTTCAACACTGTGGGATGTTGGAGCCCGTGCCATTTTATGTAGGGTCTCGCCAGCATATCGTGAATGCTCCACCATTCCCTAGATGAACCCCTACATTGTTCCTGGGGCTCCTTTAATGCCTGACACTGTCCTCCTCTCTCCAGTGTTCCATGCCTTCCTGCATCACAGCATTCCATGTCACATGCGCCTTTGACCGTGGCCTGGAAATGCGGACTATATTAGCTGACAACGATGAGGTCAAGTTCAAGTCACTCTGCCAGGAGCACAGTGACGGGGGCCCTGGTAATGAGCCTACTTCTGAGCCCGTGGAGCCTAGCCAGGCCATTGAGGACCTGGAAAAGGTGACCCTACGCAAGCAGCGGCTGCAGCAGCTAGAAGAAAACTTCTATGAGCTGGTGGAGCCAGCTGAGGTGGCCGAACGGCTGGACCTGGCCGAAGCACTGGTGGACTTCATCTACCAGTACTGGAAGCTGAAGAGGAGAGCCAATGCTAACCAACCGCTGCTGACACCCAAGACCGATGAGGTTGACAACCTGGCCCAACAGGAACAGGATGTCCTCTATCGCCGCCTGAAGCTTTTCACCCACCTGCGGCAGGACCTGGAGAGGGTAAGTGGCCTTGCCTGTTACTCCATGTGTCCTGCCTAGGGACAGCCAGGGCTCAAGGGCATGAAAGCTGCCAGGATTAGAAGATACTGAGGGATGAGGGATGCTTTACAGACTCTGCCAGCTCATTGTCTTTGAGTGGCTCTCTCTCTCTCTCTCTCTCTCTCTCTCTCTCTCTCTCTCTCTCTCTCTCGCTCGCTCTCTCTCTCTCTCTCACTCTCTCTCCTTCCCTTTCCCTCTCCCTCTCCCTCTCCCTCTCCCTCACTCACTCACTCAGAAGAGAGGGGGCTTTTCAAGACAGGATTTCTCTGTTGCTCTGTAGACCAGCTTGTCCTCAAACTCACAGAGATCCTCCTGCCTCTGCCTCCCAAGTGCTGGGGTTAAAGGTGGATGCCACCATTGCCTGGCTTTTGATTCTTTCTTGTCCCAGCCCTTTCCCAGGCCTTGGTGAAGGTGGCCTGTGGGGACAGGAGGGAAGGATACTAGGACCTATTGCCTTTAGTCCCACTTCTGACCTCTGTGGACGGTGACTGGGATTGTAGGAGCCAGTGTTACCCAGGGTAGCTATGTCCTGGGGTACTGAGAGCAGGAATTGTCCAGTTACCAGGCAAACTTGTGCTGGCCAGAACTGGGTGGGCAAAGGTGAATGGTGGATATGAACCCCACAGACTGCCAGGCAGAGCACAGGGAATAAGGGCCAAATGACGCATGAGACATTCCCCCACAGAGGTATTCCAGGCCTGGCCTGGGTAAGTAAGCCACACACACTCCCATCTTTGTTTCAGGAGACAGATAGACGTGTGGTTTGGTCCCTGGTGGTACATGTGGGGCTGAGGGAGGTGAGCATGTCTGGATCAGTACCCAGGAGCTGCTCTGGCATCTTCTTTCTGAACATTAAACTCTAGGGTTCAGAGAACTATAGTGTCCTTCATGGACCCAGGTAACATGTCACCTCTTCGTGGGCTGTGTTAGGAAACGTTCCTGATTGGAAGCCTCAGAGGGACTTTGTTGTTGACTGCTTTTCCTATCTGTGCCTCAGTGAGCCAGTCTGTCAAATGGTAGGGCACCCCAGCAGGTGCTATGCTGTGACAGATGGCAGTGACTACTCTCAGCTTCCCTATTCTCACACATCTGCCCTGGGGGCTGAGTAAGGAGAAATGACCGTGGTGGCCTGAGAAGGAACTTACTGCCTGATAGCCACTAAGTCTGTTACCAGGTCAGAAGGCCGGCGGTGTGGTAAGAATCATATGTCTCTGGTTGTTAGGCCAGAGGGAAAAGCTGATTGCATTGCAGCCACCACTTCTCAGGCAGTTCAGCCTCCTGTCACAAGGAATCACAGCTCCTTCCAGGGTTGTCCTACCCCTGTGCAAATTGCTGTCCCTCTTGTTACTTCCCAGAGGACCTAGCAGATGTGGCCCCATCAGACTTAACCTCCTGAGGAAGACTGTCCCAGCCCAGGAGGCAGCAGTCGATGGGGTTCAGGAGGATGGAGTGATAGGAAGTCTTAGTCTCCTTGGATTGGAGCTTTACTTTGAGGTGGGGGTCAGGAAAAGCAATATTGACTATTTACAGTTCTGTAGATTTTCCTGAGCAAATGTCCTCTTATGATCCCTCCATCCTCCCACCCCAGTGTCAGCTGGTACAGGGGCCACTATCTGAGGCTGGCGAGGGCTAGTATGCCAGGAAGCTGGTCGGCCAGGATCCAAAGTCTCGGGGCAGATAGGGCTACCTCAGACCCCTCCAAGGGCAGGTAACACCTATCTGAGCCTCTAGAGAGAGGCGTAAGAGCCTACTTGGAACTCTTGTGAAATCTCTTGGGAGCTTTTGACAGGAGCCCCTTTCTAAACTGCTTCCCAGAATCCTCAGGGCTGAAGAAGAAAACTGTCAGATAGCATTGACACCCAACCTTGGGCCCTCCCAGGACCACATGTTGGTGATTTAACACCAATGAAAATCACCAAGCAGTCTATCTGGAGGGGTGGGGAAGTTTTCTCTGCAGAGCCCTATGGTGGCAGTGGCCTGGCCAGCAGGCCCAGTCTCTGACCATGGCTTAAAGCCAATAGCTGAAAGTACCTGCCTTTGACTGGGCACTAGGCCAGCTTGGGCCTGCTTCTGGAGTGAAGGTGCAGAATGAAGTTAGACTTAAGAGATCTTGGGTGGTCTGGCCGTTCACTGATTCTAGCACCCCTCCCCCCAGCTCCATGACTGCTTCTATTTCCTTTTCCAAGAAATGGAAGTAAGGATTCAAATGGCCTTGGGGGTCACACAAGGACAGTGGCCTCCATTGTTGGTTGTTTTATTTTGTTTGAGGCTAGGACTCATCCTGTAGCCCAAGCTAGCCTCACACTCATGGCAATTCTCCCGCCTCGCCCTCCCAAGTTCTGGGATTATAGGGATATGAGCCCCCTTTCCTGCTGCGGGCTGATTGTTGCCACTGTTGGCCCCATAAGCAGTTCAGCTCTTAGAAGAGGGTGAAGCCTGTGTCCCAAGAGTAGGCTCCAGAGAGCACAAGGAGGCCTGGTGCTTCAGCATGGGCATCTCTGGTGGTTCAGGAGCAGGGCTGCCACCAGCATGAAATTGATTTTATGGCCAACCCAGACGATGCGCTTTCCTACAAATTTCAGCCACAGGCCTGGACCTTGGCAGGCAGTGTGGATGGACACGGCCACTGCAGCCTCCAGAGTTATTCACGGCTGACAGAAAAATTGCAGTAGTGGACATCAGCCCTGCAAATGCCAGCTCATATCCCCTAGCAACCACGCTGGCTGTCAGGCCCTGCAGGGACTTGGTTGTGGTTCTTGCTACATGACTTACTCCAGAGACTGAACAGACCTTGTGTGGGAAGCAAGAGGGTAGCAGGAGCTCTCAGTCACACAGCTGCCCTGTGGGACTTGGGTCCTGCCCTTTTCTGACCTTGCCACTTGCCTCCTTGCTGGTCTCTAGATTGGGATCTCTTGCCAAAATCCCTAACAGCACTTGGCTGGTGGACAAGTCACTCTCTTCTCTACCTCTTGTCCCCACTCCATTCTCCCGGCCCTTTGTCTTCACTCGGTCTTGTTTAAGGACCCCACCCTGACCCAGGATGACTTCATCTTAGCTAATTTTATCTTCTGAGATCTTCTGTCCCATTCTGAGGTTCCCAGCAGGAAATCTAGAGGAATTCAACCAATATAGAGGCCCTGGAAGGTGTAAGGCCGCCAGGAAGTGGTCTGATTTGCATTTCAAGAACATTGCTGAGGGATGGTTTTACTGTCCCTATGAAAGGCTGGGGGATGGGCAGAACCAGGCTGTGAAGAGAGATGGTGTCAGTCACAAGGAAAGAGGAATGTAAATGTACCCATGGGTCAATTGTGGGTGGAGGCCAGAGAGCAAGTCGTGGGGATGACTCCAGTTTTCAGCCACCCCATCCCCTGCTGGCTGGCTTTGTCTCCCCTTGCTCCATTAGACTGTCCCCACAAGGCCTAGCTAGGCCTCCTGCTGGTCTTAGTTGTCCCTTTATCCAGGAGGCCTTGCACCCTTCTAGTCTTGGGTCAGGGCCACCTGGTCCTGGGAGTACCTCATCAGAATCTCTGCCTTGCTGGGTGGCAGGCTGTGTAAAGAAAGATCCCCTGACGGTGTTGCTTTCGGTAAATTCCTCCCAGACAGTAGATAGTCTCTGAGCCAGGCTGGCGTGCAGGGTGGTGCATCCACCCTGTTGATGCTTATAGGCTGAACTGGGTCTTCTAGAATCTTCTTCACAACGAGTCTCAGAAAGGAAAGAAGGAAGGCCATACCTGACAGAAATCTGGTCATACTCCCTTGAGCTAAGAAGAGGGGTCATGCCAAGAAGTGGGGGTTCTGAATTAAAGGCCACCCCAGGCAGCTTAAGGACAGAGAGACTTAACTAAGGAAGACCTTGGTGGGAATTGGATTCAAGCTGAACAGCTATGGTCAGAAACATCTATCACTGTTTCTGGAAAGTTCCATATGAACCTAAAGGAAATGCCAGACCAAGGGAGTGTCTCCGGCAGTGCCCTGGTCAGCCCAGGGGTCCATGGTTGGTAGTCTGCACGCAGGTGCAAAGGACCCCTTTAAAAGACAGACTGCCGCCCACTCCTGCTCTCTTTCCCACTGTTCCCCTGGAGCAGACAGGACTTTTCCTGTCTCCCTCTTCTCTCTCTGCCTGTGTCTCTTTACCTCTTTTCTCCCTTCCCCCTTCCCTTTCCAATAAAACTTCTCACTAAGCTCTGTCTTGTTATGATAATGCTCATGGGGAACCTTGTGCGGAGGACCTTGGCAGATTCCATGGCAGTGGAAGTTGACTTGGGTAGAGGGACAAACATGCCAGGCAAACAGAGCTTAGTGAGAAATTTTATTAGAAAGGGCAAGGGGTTGGGGAGGGAGAACAGAGAGAGGTAAAGAGACAGAGAGAGGACAGAGAAGAGGGAGACAGGAAAAGTCCTGTCTGCCTCAGGGGAACAGCAGGAGAGTGGAAAAAGAGAGCATAAGTGGGCGGGGTTATGTCTTTCAAAGGGGTCCTTTGCACCTGCATGCAGACTATGGAACCCTGGACTGACCAGGGTACTGCCTGAGTGCATTCTGCCAGGTGTCAGGGGACAGGCCTGTATAATGCCTGAGCCCTTACACCTGTTTCTGGAGAGCTCCATATGAGCCCAAAGGAAATGCCACACCAAGGGAGTGTCTCAAGGGCTGAAGCCTGGCCTTGGCCCCAGAAGTGTATGAGAGAACGGTACCGGGCACTGACAGGTAGGTCCGCCTCAGATGCTTCCAGATAGCCTGAAGAATGTGTGCCTGTCCTATAGACTAGGCCAGATGGCTTCAGAGACTGCTACCTTTGTAAAGTAAGGCATTGTGTCACTGTGGGTGCAGGAGCATTGCAGGAGTGGCAGGGACCTGGCCCAGGTCCTGATGTGGCAGGTAGTCTTGGGAAAGCTATTCTGCCTGTGCTCATTTGAAAGTCTAGTGCTGCTGGTGCCTTGGGGCTGGGCGTTAATGGTGCTTATATCTGAAGAGTTGCTTTGCTGGGAAAGGCAGCTGTTGGACAAGCTGAGAGGGTTGCCAAGGTGAGAGAGACCACACTGCCCGTACACTCAGGGTTTGGCACTGAAGTCTCAAATGTCTTGGGCAGAGGGGAAGTGGCGTCGGCGGCCCGTGTTCAAAGCACTGCTTTCTCCAGCAACAAGGCCCCTACGGATGGCCGATGTGAGATGGGTGTCAGTGAGTAAGGTGAGAAATCTCTCTTGTGTCTCCTCAGGTTAGGAACCTGTGCTACATGGTGACAAGGCGCGAGAGGACGAAGCACACCATCTGCAAACTCCAGGAGCAGATTTTCCACCTGCAGATGAAGCTTATGGAGCAAGATCTGTGTCGAGGTAGGCACGGTACATTCCCTGCTGGGAAGGTGTGTCTGTGGGGCCTGGAAGGGCCTGGGTCCCTTCTCACCACCATTGCACTCATCAGGTCCATGTGGGAACCTGTCAATGCCCTGGAGCCAGAGTTTGGACTGTGGCTTTCGAGCCTGCCCTCGGTGGCACCACTGGTTCCCTGGGATCGCCCAGTGGCTTAGCTTGCACGAGGACAGGTGCAGATGATACAGTTTTCCTGGCTCTGCTGGGTGGGCTCAACACAGGCAGAAGCTGGCTGTCTTCCCTGAACCCTGGTGTGCCTGGGGCTCAATCCTCAGAAAGGCAACTGCACAGAGATGAGGCTGTGTGTTTCCCTCTCTCTGGTCTCACGTGACAAAATTAAGCTGTGTTTTCTTTGTCCTCTTTCAGTCTCTGGCTATAACATGCATTTAGCACATCTAGAAATCAGGGGCAAAGGTCTTGACATTGATTGCATTGGATAGTTACGAAGGAGGACACGCTTGGCACCCCACATACAGATGCCATCACGCTCAGATGTTCAACATATGCAGCAGAAATGGATAGGTAGATAGAGCTTTGGAGATGTGGGCTGCCACTGCCCACTCAGCCTGTGGGTCATTCTGGGACTTGGGTGGAGGAGGAGGAGAGCTGTTGGGGGCACCATTAGAGGGAATGACTGCCGCCTTCTCTGCCAGTAGCTGAATTGCTCCTTTTACCCTTTGGGATTACCAGATGTGGTGGAGCATACCTGTGAACCCAGTGTGCAAGAGGTTGAGTTCAGGGTCAGCCGGTGCTACATCATGAGCTCCTTTCTTTTAAAAGAAATTTAAGCCAGGCATTGGTGGTGCTCATTTTCATCCCAGCACTCGGGAGGCAGAGGCAGGTGGATCTCTGTGAGTTCAAGACGAGCCTGGTCTACAAGAGCTAGTTCCAGGACAGCCTCCAAAGCCACAGAGAAACCCTGTCTCGAAAAACCAATAATAATTATAATAATAATAATAATAATAAAAGAAAGAAATTTTTAAAAAGGGGAAGAGAAGTTGGAGAGATGGCTCAGGAAGGGGTTAAGAGCACTGGCTGTTCTTTGAGAGGATCTGGATTCAATTGCCAGCACCCACATGGTGGCTCTCAACTGTCTGTACCTCCAGTTCCAAGGAATCTAGTGCCCTCTTCTGGCCCCTTAGGGGCTGGGACTATCGCTTATTTGATAGGGTGCTTGCCTAACATGCATGAATCCCTGGGTTTGATCCTCAGCACTACATAGAACCAGATGTTCTGGTGTACATCTGTAATCCTAGCACTTGGGAGGTAGAGGCAGAAGGATCGGGAGTTTTGGGTCATCCACAGCCACATAGCAGGTTCAAGACCATCCCTGACTAGGTAACAACTATTTTCTTTTGTTGTTTTTGGTTTTTCAAGACAAGGTTTCTCTGTACAGCCTTGGCTGTTCTGAAACTCATTCTGTAGACCAGGCTGGCCTCAAACTCAGAGATCCGCCTCTTCCTCCGGAGTGCTGGGTGTGTGCCACCACTGCCTGGCTAAGAAACCATTTTCTTATGTATTTGTTATGTGTGCGAATGTTTTGTCTTTATATCTGTACGTGCACTGTGTGTGTCCTTGGTTCATGTGGAGTTTAGTTAAAAGATGGTATCAGATCTCTTGGAACTGGATGGCCACGAGCCACCATATGGGTGGTAGTTATTTAACCCAGCATAATCAAAGGAAAAATGAAAAAAATTACTGTTGCCAATTATAGAGGTCAAAGCAGGTCATGCCCTTGTGGAATTGTCAGCTGTATAGCCTCCTGAGCCTTCCTGCCCATGAACAGTTTATTCTCTGGAGCAAGAAAGTAGTGTCCCAGGGTGTGCAGTCAGTGGCCGTACAGGGACAGAGGTATTGAGGGGGACACCGCAGCACTTGAAGAGGCCACACATGTGTCTTCCTAAGCACCCCAAAGCCTGCACAAAGTCTTTGTGTTCAAGGAAGCTGAGTGTGGTGAGGCAGGAGTAGCACCTTCGGGCACAGGATTCTACACACCAGAGGATCTACCCGCAGCATAGGTTCTTGAGACTCTGCAGCTCCTTGTACTGGGTAGGAGAAAGCACCATTGTTCAGGGCAGTGCACCTTTGAAGAAGACTGCTTTACCCCTGCTTGAAGTGGACAAACCCAGGGGAGAGAACGTGCTTAGACAAGGCTGTGGGGTAACCACAGTGAGACATGGGAGATCTTGGGACCTTAGGATGTTAGGCATGGGACCCATGTTACAGGAAAGGAGACTGAGGAACAGCTAAAGGCTCTAGGGGATGAGAACAGCTGAGGGCATGCTTTATACTCCCCCCAACCCCTGAGACAGGGTTTCTCTGTAGCTCTGTAGACCAGGCTGGACTCAAACTCTTAGAGATCCATCCGCCTGCTTCTTCCTCTCAAGTGCTGGGATTAAAAGTGTGTACCACCATCGCCAGGCTTTTTTTTTTCTAACATTGTTCAGAAAGCCCTCCTGTTTCTGTTGAGGAGCTGGGGACCCTTTTGTAGAGCAAGGAACATAAGAACCAGATGTGAAACCGGAACCTCACGTCTTCTGCGTCACTGCGGAAGCAGGCCAGGAGGCAAGAAGCTTGATCAGGAGCTTGGCTGTGGTGTCAAGCCCCAAACCTAAGCCTCATACCCCAAGTTGATGCTTTTCTGCCCTGTGTCCAGCTCCTTATCCTGACATTTGAGTCCCTGTCCTGTCCGTATAACATCCAGTCACCATGTCCACTAAAGTCCAAGTCCCGTGCCTACCCCAAGATCCTTCATAGAGCTGTGCGTGGTACCTTCTCTTCTACCCCAGCTCTCCCTGCGTCTAGGTGTCATGGAGGACCCCTGGACTGCCACTCAAGTTTAACTCTCTTCTTTCTCTGACCCAGAGCCTTCTGGGAGGAGACCAAAGGGCAAGAAGAGTGACTCAAAGAGGAAAGGCCGAGAGGGTCCCAAGGGCAGTAGCCCTGAGAAGAAAGAGAAGGTGAAGGCTGCGCCAGAGTCTGTCCTGGGGCAGCTGGGTAAGTGAGGGGCCACCATGGTCTGGCAGACAACAGCCCACCTTTCAGCTTCACCCCACTGGAGGCCAGCAGTATGAAGCAGAGATGATGGCCTTCTCAGAGAAGAGTCACTTAGGCCCTTCCTCTTCCAGGTACCCTCAGCATCCCAGCCTCCCCTCACCGAGATCCCAAGAAATTCTAACTGAATAGAGACGGTTCAGGAGCTGCCCTGGGCAGAGTGATGAATCCTCCCAGAGCTGCCTAGGGGAAGACTACAAGAAGTCTTTGTCCCTGTTCCACACTGCCAGAGCCACCCCCTCTGCCACCGCTCCCACGGGCTGTTTACTCAACCCCAGTAGACCTTTCTTGAGCCACCCAGAGACCAAGAGGAGTGACAGCAGGCCCCCTAGTCACTGTCACAATAGACCTCAGTAAAATAGGGCCCAAAGCTAGCCCTGGCCACCCTGTTTCAAGGAGGCATCTCTTATAGGGTGATTTCCTTCAAGCTGCTGGAGGGACTGTAAAGATGCAGCGCCCCCTGGTGGCCTCTCTGCTTTTACCACTTTGAAATTCTTAAGTGTTTGAACAAGGAACTCACCACTTCCTTTCCACTGCACTCCACAATTTGCAAAGTCAGTCCTGGGGTCCGTCATCCTGGTGAGCAGGGACTGTGTGTCTGGCCCCGCTTTTTGGTAGCATTGATAGGAAGGGTGAACAGAAAAGATAGCTTGCCTGGGTGGGTTGATGGTCTTGGGCCGCCTGAAAAGGTGGTGTACACAGCTCACACACCTGCCTTCTTTCTCCCATTGGTCAGGTCTGTCCACCTCGTTCCCTATCGATGGCACTTTCTTCAATAGCTGGTTGGCACAGTCAGTGCAGATCACAGCAGAAGACATGGCCATGAGTGAGTGGTCTTTGAACAGTGGGAACAGGGAGGATCCAGCTCCAGGTCTGCTGTCAGAGGAGTTGCTGCAGGATGAGGAGACGTTACTCAGCTTCATGAGGGACCCCTCATTACGACCTGGTGACCCTGCCAGGAAGGCCCGAGGCCGCACTCGCCTTCCTGCCAAGAAGAAACCACCCCCGCTTCAGGATGGGCCCAGTGCACGGACCACTCCAGACAAGCCACCCAAGAAACCCTGGGCCCAGGATGCTGGCAGTGGCAAGGGCGTGCAAGGACCACCCACCAGGAAGCCACCACGGAGGACGTCTTCTCATTTGCCGTCCAGCCCTGCAGCTGGGGACTGTCCTGTCCCAGCAGCAATGGAAAGCCCCCCCCCACTGGCCTCTGAAACCCTGGACGAGACAGCCCTCATGGCTTCCGACTTGAATGTCCAAGTGCCTGGCCCTACAGTGAGCCCCAAGCCCTTGGGCAGGCTCCGGCCACCCCGAGAGATCAAGGTCAGTCGGAAATCTCCGGGTGCTAGGTCTGACGCTGAGACAGGACTGCCATCTGCTGTGGCCGAGAGGCCAAAGGTCAGCCTGCACTTTGACACTGAGGCTGATGGCTACTTCTCTGATGAGGAGATGAGCGACTCTGACATAGAGGCAGAGGACAGTGGAGTACAACGGGCTTCCAGGGAGGCAGGGGCAGAGGAGGTGGTTCGCATGGGGGTACTGGCCTCCTAACTCACCAGGGTACTGCCCTGGTCCCCCACAGGGCCTCAGCCCAATCACAACTGCCATTTCCAACTGCTGAGTGTCCCAGACCCACCACTCTGTCGTGGTTTTATTTTTAATATATAGAGAGTTCTGAATTCCACTCCGTTGTCTTTCCTCTGTGCTGGCCTAGGACATTAGGATTCCTCCCGTGGCCCTGGCCAGGGACTATGCCAGGTTCTATGTGCCACCCTGTCCCAGTCCACAC